CAAACGCAACTGAACTAAGGACTAATATCTGTTTGTTTTGTAAGCCAGGAGTTTTTGCTTTTTTTTTATTTTCTTTGTATAGCTGATTAATTTATACGAACGTTAGGAATAGGAACTAATTTTAGAATAAGCTAGGCTAAGGAACATATATACTAAACAAGGGCAGAAAGACCGATTGGGTCGATAGCCTTTTTCTGTAGGAAATAAAGATTATTTATATATTGAAGTTTTACGCATATTTCGCTTGTAACTATCTTTTCTATCCAGTCATCTTAGACCGTCTTCGTTCCATTTTTGCCCGGATGATCATCATTTACTTAAAATTCCTTATCAACTGGATTTTCTTTTGCATTTTCCTTGGGTTGAACTTTAGTCAATTCTGCTCTTCTCACTTGCCCTCGTTCTTTATCATTAGCGTCACTATTTAAAAAAACTAACTGGTTAAAATCCAACTTCAACATGAATGAATAGAACAAAAAACCGCATCAAACCAAAGACACTTAATTAGCTTAAATGTATGTATTGCATTATAGGGCAGTTTTTCAACTATACTCGACATAGGTACATACAAAAGCTGTTCACAGTGCAAACCCAACAATTCGGAATTTAGAATTAGAATGTAAATAATTCGCTAATGTTGAAAGCTAATTTGCATAGATTCATATAGATTTAATCGCGATAGTTTTAATTAACAATTGTTGTTATGTTTTATGTTCGATAAGTCCAATCAATGTAAAATTATACTTGTTACAAGCCGGATAATCGGCCTGTTGAGGTCTGGCGTAATAGTTTAAATATTAATGAATAACGCAGAGTAAATTGTTTATTGGAGTGTTCGAATTTTAACCGTTGGTTACATTTGGCTAGGTTTTGTGTTCGATTAAAATTGACGACATTTATTCGGAAGGGGAATTAATTCAGATCAATTTATTGTGCTATCGGTTACCAAACGCTAATGAAAAACAGAGAAATGAAACAAGTATGTGGGAATTTGAGCTTCAAGGATTTCGAAACAATATTGATGCGATTAACTCTTTCGGCTTTTTTGGTCTCTGTTTCTGCTTTTTGAAGAACATTCTTTCTTCATATTTGTGTTCAATTCTATTTAGGCTCTCATTTAGGAGAGCAAACCCATATTTTCCCCAGCTTGAGGAAATTCCACATACAATCTGTTAATCTGTTGAACTATCATTGCGACAATATGCGAAGCAAAACGTAATAAAAACAGTATTTCTAAAGCTAACAATTAGCACTAATTAAAATAATTACCTTTCATCGTTTCGGCCAAGAGCCAATTCAAGTAGACAGGATTATCTTGGACATATTTATAGGTTTGCAAAGTAAAATTAAGCTAAGCTGGTTGTCTTAGATCGCCAGATAACGCTGTTGTGACACCTGATTTTTGAAATAATGCACAAGGTCGAATTGCGCAACATTTATCGGACTAAACTATTTTGGCATTTGATGAAAATAGCCCGCGAGAAATGGACACAAAATCCCAAAACAATTTCTCTTATGATTCACTTTTAAAAATCGTTAGATTTGGCGCCCTTGTTGAGCTTGCACTAATAAAAGTTCGGCGACAAACTTTTAGAAAAAGATTATATTCAATTCTAGTTGTCGCTGCTGCTGTGGGGTGTTTCAATTATTTGCGCCTTACTTACCGAAAATTCCGCCGGGATCTCAAAACCAAACTCGTTAAACTTTGGATCTATTTCCATTTATTCGTTTCAACATAAAAGTTCTGTAGTGTTTCTTTCTGTTTCCATAACTTGGAATAATTAGGGATACGGATTTTTGAGGCTCCGCTTCACTTTACTTTGCCATTTTGCATGTGGTTTGCTACTCTTGCTCAAAATGAAATAGTGCATTTCTGAATCTGTTACAAAAGCATTGCTTAAATGCAATTTCAACGCGAACAATAACAAGCCAATAAATTCACATTATTTATGAGCAACGAGCTTAATCTATTCTAGAGCTCAGAAGCTTGCAAAATAGGTTGGCAGCATTTTTCCCTAGCAATTCTAATTGATCCTAATTGCGTTAATACGTTTCGGTTTGCTTTGTCTTGTGGCAAATCGCGATACAATTCTGGAACGGACAGATCCGATTTGCGCCGGTTTCCTGCAATAAATAAAGTCGGTAATTGGTCAAAGGACGAACGGCTTTATATTGAATTTCTACTCTGGAGGAAAAGTTTTTTTTTGTCGATCAGGTTTGGGAAATGTTTTGAACTAATAATATTTGCATTAAATGAAACAAACACACAATTTTAAAAAATATACGCTCCACGCAATTTTATTTCCCTCCCATTCCAGATTGTGTTACTTAAATTTTCAATCTATTCCGATGAGTCTACAAAAGGTTCAACAAGAGATCCAAACCTTACTATTTTTGAGGACTTTTTTATATCTGTTGAAAACCTTATTTTCAAGTTGCACGATGACTGGCTTAGACTCTTGTGGTGTATCCAAACTTGCCAGACCAGAAAATAATTTTGAAGTTTCTTAAACACACCGACAGACGCTCTATTTTCTGTAATTATGTGAATTTTCTGAAACATCAAAGGAATTTTGCCGCGGTTCAGGCTCGGCTCAGGCTCGGCTTGCCAAGTCTGGATGCACCGTAAGAATCCAACACAGACATCGTGTATTCTGAAAATAATTTTGGCATTTACAGACGGCAAAATTAAGAAACTATTAATCTACCCATTTAGACGTAGGTAATAGGCAGTATTTTCGCTCTCTGCACCAGTTTATGGAGAAAGTCTTTCGTGAGTTGCTTTTAGGTAACCTTCTCAGAGTCTGGAATATACATAAATTTTTCGAGGAGAATGTGTAGAAAATTGACTTATCA